AAGGGGCTCTCAAAAAGGGATCGTTTAAACCACCACCAGTACAGCCGGGGCTGGAGGCGCTGCACTGCGCACCAAGCTTGTCTTCGGAGAGCCGGGGCTCTCAAAAGGGGATCGATCGATTAGACGACCAGTACAGGCACGCCTGGAAGTGCAGCGGGGGCTCTCAAAAGGGATTGTTTAAACCGCCGACCAGTACAGCCGGGCCTGGAGTCGCTGCACTCTGCACGGAACTTTTCCAAACCGCCAGCAGCGCACTTTTTTTACTTCTTTGGCTGGCTTCACCAACCATTGTGGTTCAGCATCAGCAGGCCGGAGAAGCGAAATTTTCGGAGTAGGCGACGAACACGTTTCCACAAGGCTGGGGCCTGTACCAGAGGTTTGACAGACAAAATGATCACTGGAGCAGCACAGTCAGGACACAGTGTGAACGTGCGAAAATAACTTTCCTGAAATAAAGAGTGCATTTTTTTAGCGGCAAGGACTCTTCGAAAGAGTAAGCGTAATCTCTCACACGACCTCATAGCGTTGCTCGCTTTCCCCCATCTCCCTGGGACCTCAACCAGTTTGGCCAGCAAGCTTCTTCAAGTGTTGGAAAGCCCTCTGCTTGATCCATTGCCTGTCATGTGGTACATATGCATTTATCGAATGGTCGAGCCTGCGACACATGCAAACATCGCTCACTGTCAGGTCATCGAAGCATCCTTCTTTCTTCCCTTGCCAGTCAGTGACCCAAATGCGAAAAATGAAAGGGGTGGCTTCATTATGGTAGTACCGTAGTATATAACAGCCAGACTCAGAACCTTCAGTTTCTATAATAGAGCATGGAGATCAGTGAAAAAGTAGGTCTGTATAGACAGCCAGCAGCCACTTTTTTAACCTTTTTAAAAAAAAAAATCTAGGCTACCAGCCGGGCCGCCCGGGTCCCGGGTTTCCAGCCCGTGCAAGGACCAGGGAAGGTCCCAGCAAAAATATATATATATATTGTCAAATAGAACTGCCCGGTAAACCGTAGGCAGAGAGGGAGAAGAGAGAAGAGGACAACAAACGAGGGGCTGTGACAAACTGTTTCGTCGGAGTT